GCACCATTTGCCTAAAATCGTACGAAAATATATATGGTAGCTATATAAATCTAAACAGATTTCAACGAAGCTTGCCAGAGGCACATTGTTACAAAATTGTGTGCCAATCGGACAAACTTTGGGTCTTTAGTGCGCTTTAGTGTCAAGTTTCGTAATAATCGGTTCAAATTTAGATGTAGCCCTATATATATTTCGTCCCATTTAATGTGAATGATGCAACAAAGTCCGAATCATCACACATCATTCTAGACTCATTTCAGTACAATATGCCAAATTTCGTGCAAATCGAAAGATATATAGGTATTTTGGTGTACCATTTACCTTAAATCGGACGAAAATATATATGGGAGCTACATCGAAATCTGAACCGATTTTCCCAATTTCAATAGGGTTAATCATTGGGCCAAATAAATGAGCTGTCCCAAATTTCATCCAATTCGAATCATAAATGCGATTTATGTTTACAATTTAACATGGCCAGACAGATGAACGGACATACATAAATCGGCCAAATTTTAGGCCGAATGCCACAAAATTTTGCACAACGTACTGAAGTTAGTGTAGTCTAATGTCTGCCAAGTTTTGCTGAAATCGGTTCAGATTTGGATATAGCTCCCATATATAGTTTTGTCCGATTTTAAATAATAGGTGCACCAAACTCCTCCTCATGAATGATGTAATTGCGTTTTGTAGAAGTACAGACATAGCCCATATATATTTCCGACCGATTTCGTATATAATTGAAGATTTAAAAGAGAAGAAAAATAATTTACAAAAAAAATTTGTTATTGTTTTTTGTAATTAAAGAAAAGTCCTTATTTTTGATGGCGGGCATGATAACTCCTCACTGGAACATCGGAATCCGAAAATTCCAACGGTGTTAGAAAGAGTACATGTCTGGCTCTCGTATGAACTAGGATTATTGACTTCGCTCTAAAATAAGGAAGATCTTCACCGATTGGCTTTATCCTAGTTCATACGATAACTATACACTCACAGAGAATCGTGCCCGCCATTCGCAAAAGAGAATAACGCGTTTAAAGTTTGAGAAGCGCTTTAACCATCACTTGATGCTAACACAATAAATCGGCTATATCTTCAAGACTTCTTGAGATTTTCACTTGCAATTTTGTGGGGACATTCTTGAATTAGTGTAGATTCGAATTAAATAAAAAAAATTGACCCCGAGAATGGGGGGGGGGCTTAAATAGATTTACATAATTATTTCCCATTGTAACAAACGAATGACATGCTTATGGAATTAGATAAATATCGCTTTTAGATAAAGATCACATATTTTAGTTTATCCAATGTCATGTTAATGGACCTTCATGTTAATGGTCCAATGTCCTATTAATGGTCCTTCTGCTAGGATACATCTGTCCAACTATTCTACTTTCCTTACTGTTGTTTTTGTTAGATTTTAATTGGCTCGAATGGACATGCATATCTATATATACGTATATACATATATGAAGGGATTCTATACATATCCTCCAAAGTTACTATGGGTTTATCACGTTTCCTTTCGCATGTTACAAACATATGCCCTGTACCACACTGTGGTGAATGGTATACAAATTATAAACGTCGTTAAGTTCGGACGGATCTAACGGCCGAAATACTGAATTAAAGCCAATTCGGTTGAGAAGTGCCCCAGAAATAATCCTGAAAATAGGACCAACATTGATATTTTTATTAGGGAGAAGTGTCCCTAAATTTTAATAAATATTGATTCGTTACAAATTACAGCCAATTAGGTTATGCGTTCAACATATTTTTAATATAAAATATTTAACAAATTTACAAAACTTTATATATTATGACTTTAACAGAAGGGCATGACAGCTATAAACGTTAAAATGTAAGTCAAAATTCCCCGTGTAGATTACAAAAAGTAGTAGTAAAGTAGTAGTAGTAGTAGTAACCGTGTTTATATTGGGACCGTAACAGTTCGCTATTCGCTACACTTCGGGGTATATATCAAGTCACCACATATTTTGACAATTCTCTGCGAATAATTTTTTTATCCACTAAGAACTCGTAATTCCAAATTATGGTTCGTTATTTGGCTAAAAGTCCAAATATGCGGAGGTGCCAATATATACTAAACGTGGACCGATTTCAATAGCAAATATCCTAAGAGTTGTAGCTACGGCGAGTTTGCGCTAACTTTCATAATATCTATCATAAATATTCCAATTTCTATGGTGATTTCAAAAACCGACAGGCGGGCATTTTTAAATCTCACAATGATTATAAATGTAATACGATAAATATTTCCAAGTATTTAATACACACTCCACCTTATGTAGGAAGGTATGAAAAACATTATTTACGGGGATAATAAATGTAATACCAAGCTTACTTTACTCTATTCCTCATTACATTCCATCACACATCTAAAGGAAATGGGAAACAATTTAATTATTTGAAATCTGATTTACGCACTATATTGTATGTTCTACAATTAATAACTAAACGATAAACCTGAACGTGTTTTCCTGAACATGCGAATATTAGCTAGTACTTACAATAGAATGAATAATGATAATCCCAACTTATATTCTTAAGTAGTCACTTCCAATAAAACATCACATTACATTGTAACCAAAACAAATTCCCCCGAAAGGAGATGATATTGAATATCGTTTACGATATTCCGATATATCCCAAACGTACACACGCCCGCACGCATACACACTTCTACTAACCGTTGTACGTTCGTTTGTTTATTTGTTTTCTTTCTGGCATTGACTAGTCGCCAGAGAAGTTCCATAACGTTCGTATATAAGCCGGCGTTTTATAACACTTTCAAGTTATTTCAAATCAGACATTCGTGCAAAGAAGATCGTTATTTTTTGTGTAGTTTCGTTATCTGTTTTTAAGTCATAATGGGTAAGCGGAAAGAAATTTTCCATGTGAAGTGAATGAAAGAAAGTTAAGAACCCAAGAAAGAATGCATGACTAAATGGTGGAGTACGAAAGAAACCTCACAGAGAATATATTATTCCATAAATGTGGCCGCAGAGAAATTGTTTGTGTTGTTGTACAAAAATAATGATAATAATAATGGAAAAAGAATTGAATCATGTGAATAAAGCCAAACAAATTCAAAAATATTTTATGAAACTATAAAAATGTTACCGCTAACGAAATGCATCTCACACACAGAGAGAGACATTGGTGTTAATGAACTAGAGTCGATTCATGCAATGGCCGAATGAGTGATGAGGCATCCACCTGCACCTACCCACCCATCCATCCATCGAACCAACTAACCGACCATCCAGTCACCCACCCATCCATCCATGGGAGTATAAAAACCAACAAAGAAAAACTGTTGCAATAATAACTCTTTCGCTTGACAATCACCAAACAGAGGAATCACTGACAATGGCATTCCATTGTCGTGTTCCAGAAACAGAACAACTTCAAGAAGTGTTTAATAAATAACTGAAGAGAAAAAAAGAAAGAAAAAGAATATTTTCTGATTGTTGTTAACCGCAACAACAGAGTAATGAAGAAAAAAACAGAAAAAAAATATTCAATAACGTTTTTAAAATTTTAAATAAACTTTTGGATCGCCAAAAAATGGATTTTTGTTTTTTTTTTGTGGAGTTATCGTGCCGAGCGTGTGTCCAATTATGTATTCTATTGGCGTATTTTGAAATAATTATTTGTTGTTGTATTTCGATAATGTTGTTTTTGTGTACATTTCGATTTGTAAAGTTCGGTAGTGGTACTGGTGGGGGTGGTTGCGTTGATGGCAGGTCGGTCCCAATCAATTGCTTGATTCCTTTCCGCTTTTGGCAACGTCAAAGACATTTTGTTGATAGCGATGGATGTCCAAGGAATAAACACGTAATCAAATGACAAAAAAACTATATAAATATTGTGCAGTTGATTGAACCTGTTGAAAACCCCTGAAAAAGAAAAAAACTATTTATGTTGACTTGATGCCAATTTGTGTACATTTCGAGTTCATTAACAGATATAAATTTCAATATTAATCTACCAAGCGAAATCTATGAAAAATCTAAAAAAATTAAAATTTTAAAATCAGTCATTGAGATTATGGGATGTTTGTGAAGAAAATTATATAAAATCATTTTTTGTCGCCGCTTAGACTGTGAAGTCAAGTAATGAAATCGGTCGAAAAATAAATGTTGGAGCAATGTATAAATCTAAACCTATTTAAAACAAAATTTCAAAAGTTCGTGTCAATTGGACATGCATATTTTGTGCACCATAACGAACATGTATATCTAACTATACTTTATGTACAAAAAGAACTAAATCGTACTATAATTGGTACAATTTTGATTTGAGTAAAACGATAGAGCTGGAACATTGAAGTTCGGAAATAAGGTTATTTTTTGAGTGTAGGATTAGGGTATGGATGTAGTTTTGGAAATTCATACTTATGGATACTAAATTGGTGGATATGTTGGAAGTTTTGGAAATTCGTATTGTTATGTACTTAATTTGGTACCATATTTGGGTGAACCGATAGAGCTGGAATACTGAATTTTAGAAATAGGGTTACTGTTGGAGTTTGGGTGAACCAGTAGAGGTGGGATCCTGAAATTTAGAGTTAGGATCATTGTTGGGGGTAGGATTGTGGTTATGTAGGAAGGTACCAAATTTGAATTTGAGTGAACCGATAGAGCTGGTTTTGATAATTCGTACATATGAATACTAAATGTTACTAAATTTGCTACAATTTGAATTTTGGGAGAATCGATAGAGCTACAATTTTGAGTTAGAATTCCAGAAATTTTGTGCTAGGATTCCTTATCCGGAATAGGATTGGGATATGTAGGTAATTTTGGAAATTTGTACTTATGTGTACGAAAAGTACTAAATTTGATACAACATTGATTTAGGTGAATCGATAGAGCTGAAGCACTAAATATTTGGAATTAATATTACTGTTGGACTGTGGAATTGAAGTTTGCAAATAATTTTGGGAATTCGTACTTATGTGTACTAAATTTGATTTTAGGGTAAACCGATAAGTCTGGAATCCTGAAATCCTGATGTAGGTAGTAATGGAAATTTGCACTTATCTGTATAAAATGGTACTAAAATTGATACAATTTAGATTTAGAGCTGAAAAGTACTAAAAGTTCTGTTCAAGAACTTCTAGTACTGTTCGATATTAAAAGTACTGTTCAAGTGTAGGATTGGGGAATGGGCGCACTTTGAAAATTTGTTCTTATGGGTACAAATTAGAGCTAAAAACTGATATTTGGAATTAAGATTGTGGTATGTGGGAAGATTTGGAAATTCGTATTTATGATCGTTAAGGTACATAGTTATGGAAATTTATATTAATGCGTACTAACTGGTACTAAATTTGGTTTGTGTGAACCTATATTTGAATTTTTTTTGGCAATAACTATATTATTACGTAGAACGTAACTATATGCATAAGTCCCAAATGTCAACATTAAAATATTAGGTTATACAATGTTTAGTTCAAATTTTCAGTAAAATTTTGACCATTTTGTGGGGGAGGTAATAGACCGATATCCTCCATCTTCGAACTTGATCTAAGTTTGGGAAAAATATTTTCGATATGCAAAGTTTTAATAAAATCGGTTACTCCTTTCGAGATTTATCGTGCGCACCAGCCGGTCAGAGGCACAGACGGACGGATGGACATCGATTCCAAATTGTCTGAAACGGATATGGCCCAAAAAACATGGCGTCTTAAACCAATATTTCGATGAGGCACATTTTTGCCGCAGCAAAGTGTATATAACCTCATTAGCCATAAGACTGAGGGTATAAAAATGATCAATATTGGGACAAGCTTAGTTTGTTATTAGGTTATTGATAGTACTCGTAGTTAACTATTTTGTTTTCAATGGGTGTTAAATGTTCCTACTAAAATTTGTGAATATTGCTTTGCTTTTTGGCAGCAATTTACCTCCTTATAAATGTCCCAATCGATTTTAGATGGATTAAATGTCCGTCATTACTTGTTATAGACAAATTCTTTCATTTTTTGCATTCTAATAAAATTTTCACAATAATCTATGTTTTTCGGTTCTAAAAAGTAGAAGAATATAGAAACTGATCTTTAAAAAAACACACACACACATTAAAAATGCGATTCTTTCGTATGGGGTCTTTAACAACATGTATGGCCTCTGACATATATGATTTTCTTTGCATATGTCTCCAATTACGAAATATTTATGATGTCATATTTTTTGGTCGAAATCCATAAAATAACAGCATTTTTTGAAATAGAATATTTATATTTAATTTCGAAATTTATTATATTTTTATGTTCACGCCCTTGTCAACTAACATAAATACGTACATATGTACTTGCATTTGTATTTATACAAAAATCGTATATATACATATAGTAATTAAAATGGTGTGACAAAATGCAAGCAAATAATTTATACATACCCACATACTGACATATATATCCGTATATCCTATATTCGTGTTATAATTTGTCGTAAATTTGTAAAAGAATAATATGTACGGATTTAGATATTTTGGCGACAAACAAATGAAATCTAAGTAAAATATATTTTCCTAGGCTATTTTGCAAATTAATTATTTCGATTATTACGAAAAACAATGAAATAAAATTTAATTATTATTTGTTTATGTTTGTCTTTGTGTGTGTAAGGCTTGGTAATCTATGGCATTTTCAATTTCGTTTAGCAGCAATTTATTAGCATAAATGCCCATAATAAAAACGGGAAACAATGTCGAAATACTATCAACAGCAAAGGTTGCAAAATGTTTATTGAATGTTTCAATAAATCATTTAAAATGTGCAACTGAAAAAATATACTTTGGACATTGCCCAATTTATTGTAAGAAATAATTTTTATATTCTCCTTCGAAAATGTTTATGAAAAACAGAAGCTAATATAAATCATAAAAATTTAGCGCCATGTTTAAAAAGGCCATGTTTCGTTATTCCACTTGAAAAAAAATATTTTAAAAATTATAAAAATCCATAGCTTTCTGGTCCTTTGAAATAATTATAAAACTCCACAGCTTGATGGTCCTTTGAAAAAAATTATAAAAATCTACGGCTTGCTGGTCCTTTTAAAAAAGTTATAAAAATCCATGGCTTGCTGGTCCTTTGAAAAAATTTTAATATCCAAGCCTTGTAGGTCCTTTGAGAAAATATTCTTTAAAAAATCCAATCCGCGCCTTGTTGATCCTTTGAAAAAATATTCTTTAAAAAATCTACGCCTTGTTGATCCTTTGAAAAAATATTCTTTAAAAAATCTACGCCTTGTTGATCCTTTGAAAAAATATTCTTTAAAAAATCTACGCCTTGTTGATCCTTTGAAAAAATATTCTTTAAAAAATCTACGCCTTGTTGATCCTTTGAAAAAATATTCTTTAAAAAATCTACGCCTTGTTGATCCTTTGAAAAAATATTCTTTAAAAAATCTACGCCTTGTTGATCCTTTGAAAAAATATTCTTTAAAAAATCTACGCCTTGTTGATCCTTTGAAAAAATATTCTTTAAAAAATCTACGCCTTGTTGATCCTTTGAAAAAATATTCTTTAAAAAATCTACGCCTTGTTGATCCTTTGAAAAAATATTCTTTAAAAAATCTACGCCTTGTTGATCCTTTGAAAAAATATTCTTTAAAAAATCTACGCCTTGTTGATCCTTTGAAAAAATATTCTTTAAAAAATCTACGCCTTGTTGATCCTTTGAAAAAATATTCTTTAAAAAATCTACGCCTTGTTGATCCTTTGAAAAAATATTCTTTAAAAAATCTACGCCTTGTTGATCCTTTGAAAAAATATTCTTTAAAAAATCTACGCCTTGTTGATCCTTTGAAAAAATATTCTTTAAAAAATCTACGCCTTGTTGATCCTTTGAAAAAATATTCTTTAAAAAATCTACGCCTTGTTGATCCTTTGAAAAAATATTCTTTAAAAATCTACGCCTTGCTGATCCTTTGAAAAAATATTCTTTAAAAAATCTACGCCTTGCTGATCCTTTGAAAAAATATTCTTTAAAAAATCTACGCCTTGTTGATCCTTTGAAAAAATATTCTTTAAAAAATCTACGCCTTGTTGATCCTTTGAAAAAATATTCTTTAAAAAATCTACGCCTTGTTGATCCTTTGAAAAAATATTCTTTAAAAAATCTACGCCTTGTTGATCCTTTGAAAAAATATTCTTTAAAAAATCTACGCCTTGTTGATCCTTTGAAAAAATATTCTTTAAAAAATCTACGCCTTGTTGATCCTTTGAAAAAATATTCTTTAAAAAATCTACGCCTTGTTGATCCTTTGAAAAAATATTCTTTAAAAAATCTACGCCTTGTTGATCCTTTGAAAAAATATTCTTTAAAAAATCTACGCCTTGTTGATCCTTTGAAAAAATATTCTTTAAAAAATCTACGCCTTGTTGATCCTTTGAAAAAATATTCTTTAAAAAATCTACGCCTTGTTGATCCTTTGAAAAAATATTCTTTAAAAAATCTACGCCTTGTTGATTCTTTGAAAAAATATTCTTTAAAAAATCTACGCCTTGTTGATCCTTTGAAAAAATATTCTTTAAAAAATCTACGCCTTGTTGATCCTTTGAAAAAATATTCTTTAAAAAATCTACGCCTTGTTGATCCTTTGAAAAAATATTCTTTAAAAAATCTACGCCTTGTTGATCCTTTGAAAAAATATTCTTTAAAAAATCTACGCCTTGTTGATCCTTTGAAAAAATATTCTTTAAAAAATCTACGCCTTGTTGATCCTTTGAAAAAATATTCTTTAAAAAATCTACGCCTTGTTGATCCTTTGAAAAAATATTCTTTAAAAAATCTACGCCTTGTTGATCCTTTGAAAAAATATTCTTTAAAAAATCTACGCCTTGTTGATCCTTTGAAAAAATATTCTTTAAAAAATCTACGCCTTGTTGATCCTTTGAAAAAATATTCTTTAAAAAATCTACGCCTTGTTGATCCTTTGAAAAAATATTCTTTAAAAAATCTACGCCTTGTTGATCCTTTGAAAAAATATTCTTTAAAAAATCTACGCCTTGTTGATCCTTTGAAAAAATATTCTTTAAAAAATCTACGCCTTGTTGATCCTTTGAAAAAATATTCTTTAAAAATCTACGCCTTGCTGATCCTTTGAAAAAATATTCTTTAAAAAATCTACGCCTTGCTGATCCTTTGAAAAAATATTCTTTAAAAAATCTACGCCTTGTTGATCCTTTGAAAAAATATTCTTTAAAAAATCTACGCCTTGTTGATCCTTTGAAAAAATATTCTTTAAAAAATCTACGCCTTGTTGATCCTTTGAAAAAATATTCTTTAAAAAATCTACGCCTTGTTGATCCTTTGAAAAAATATTCTTTAAAAAATCTACGCCTTGTTGATCCTTTGAAAAAATATTCTTTAAAAAATCTACGCCTTGTTGATTCTTTGAAAAAATATTCTTTAAAAAATCTACGCCTTGTTGATCCTTTGAAAAAATATTCTTTAAAAAATCTACGCCTTGTTGATCCTTTGAAAAAATATTCTTTAAAAAATCTACGCCTTGTTGATCCTTTGAAAAAATATTCTTTAAAAAATCTACGCCTTGTTGATTCTTTGAAAAAATATTCTTTAAAAAATCTACGCCTTGTTGATCCTTTGAAAAAATATTCTTTAAAAAATCTACGCCTTGTTGATCCTTTGAAAAAATATTCTTTAAAAAATCTACGCCTTGTTGATCCTTTGAAAAAATATTCTTTAAAAAATCTACGCCTTGTTGATCCTTTGAAAAAATATTCTTTAAAAAATCTACGCCTTGTTGATCCTTTGAAAAAATATTCTTTAAAAATCCACGCCTTTATTACTCCTTAAAAAATATTCTCTAAAAATCTATGCCTTGTTTGTCCTATAGAAAAAGTATCCTTCAAAAGTAATCCTTCAAATATTCACTCTTACTTGAACTCGTTTTTGTTATTTTTTCTTTCCAGCCAAAAGCCTTCTCGTAACACTCCTTGTATTGGTGGGAGTTGCACTGTCCTCGCGAACGACAGTGGAAGCCATGGAACAACCAGCTCGCATTGTTTGCTATTTCAGCAACTGGGCTGTTTATCGACCAGGCTTGGGACGTTATGGCATTGAAGATATTCCCGCTGAGATGTGCACCCATTTGGTGTACTCGTTTATTGGTGTTGATGACAAATCATGGGAAGTGTTGGTCATCGATCCGGAAATCGATGTTGATCAAAATGGTTTCCGTAATTTCACCCAGCTACGTAATACCCATCCCAATTTGAAGTTGCAGATTGCTGTCGGCGGATGGGCTGAAGGTGGTTCGAAATATTCACGGATGGTGGCGGTACGTGAAAATCGTCTTCGTTTCATACGTAGCGTTGTGAATTTCATGAAGAAGTATGATTTCGATGGTTTCGATTTGGATTGGGAATATCCTGGTGCCACGGATCGTGGTGGTAGTTACAGTGATAAGGATAAATTTTTGTATTTTGTACAAGAATTGCGTAGAGCATTCGACCGTGAGGGTAGAGGTTGGGAAATAACAATGGCTGTGCCAGTGGCTAAATTCCGTTTGCAGGAAGGCTATCATGTTCCGGAGTTGTGCGAGTAAGTTAAATCCTGGACAAAATACCATTTTATTTGTTATTAAAATTTGTTTTCGTTTTCTAGAGCCTTGGATGCCATCCATGCCATGACCTATGATTTACGTGGCAACTGGGCCGGTTTTGCTGATGTCCATAGCCCCTTGTACAAACGCAAACACGATCAATATGCCTATGAGAAACTGAATGTCAACGATGGTCTGGCCTTGTGGGAAGAAATGGGTTGCCCCGCCAATAAATTGGTGGTCGGTATTCCCTTCTATGGCCGCACATTCACCTTAAGTGCCTCGAACAAAAACTACAATATGGGCACCTACATCAATAAGGAAGCTGGTGGTGGTGCTCCAGGTCCCTTCACCAATGCCAGTGGTTTCTTGGCCTACTACGAAATCTGTACCGAGGTGAAGGACAAAGCCAATGGCTGGACTGTTGAATGGGATAAGGATGGTATGGTTCCCTACACCTATCGCGACACCCAATGGGTTGGCTATGAAAACGAAGCTTCGGTACAAATCAAAATGGATTGGATCAAACAAAAGGGCTATGCCGGTGCCATGACATGGGCCATTGATATGGACGACTTCCATGGTTTGTGTGGTCGTCCCAATGGCTTGATGCATATTCTATATGAGAATATGAGAAATTATCGTGTGCCGGAACCAACACGCGAAACAACGCCTAGGGTAAGTTGTCACTTATTATGTGTCACAAGATGTGAGCAGGTGCCAAATGAATTTAGAATTTTTTTCTTTTCATTGTTGGCTGTCTGCGATTTTTATTTATATATATTTTTTGATTTGCTTTGGTTTTTGTTTTTCATTTTCTTTATTGTGTATTTTTGTCTTTGCGGTCTGTCCTACAGCCTGAATGGGCCAAACCACCAGCAACGCCACCAAATCCCGATGAGGGCAGTCTAACAGTGCCTGAAGCAACAACAACCCGACGACCAAAACCCGTCACAACTAAAAGACCCGCAACAATGGCACCAGCGCCAACAGCACCAACCAAACCACCAACAACAACATCGCCAACCAAGGTAAGAGATCACACGAGTGAAATTCTCAAATATTGAGAAATAGTTCGATCGGATGGTCTGAATATATTTAAATATTGAGTATAGCGTATTGCCAAACATTTTTAGCACGTGAAACGATTTTGTAGGTCAATTGAAAATATTTTTTTTTATATATTCCTTAAAAAATCCACGCCTTAATGGACCTCTAAAAAATATTCCTTAAAAAATCCACGCCTTAATGGACCTCTAAAAAATATTCCTTAAAAAATCCACGCCTTAATGGACCTCTAAAAAATATTCCTTAAAAAATCCACGCCTTAATAGAACCTCTAAAAAATATTCCTTAAAAAATCCACGCCTTAATAGAACCTCTAAAAAATATTCCTTAAAAAATCCACGCCTTAATGGACCTCTAAAAAATATTCCTTAAAAAACCCACGCCTTAATGGGCCTCTAAAAAATATTCCTTAAAAATCCACGCCTTGATGGGCCTCTAAAAAATATTCCTTAAAAAATCCACGCCTTGATGGGCCTCTAAAAAATATTCCTTAAAAAATCCACGCCTTGATGGGCCTCTAAAAAATATTCCTTAAAAAATCCACGCCTTGATGGGCCTCTAAAAATATTCCTTAAAAAATCCACGCCTTGATGACCTCCAAAAAATATTCCTTAAAAAATCCACGCCTTGGTGTGCCCCTAAAAAATATTTCTTAAAAAATCCACGCCTTGATGGGCCTTCAAAAAAAATTCCTTAAAAAATCCACGTTTTAATGGACCTCTAAAAAAATTTCCTTAAAAAATCCACGCCTTAATAGACTTCTAAAAAAATATTGTTTAAAAATTTCACACCTGTATTGGTCCTTGAAAAAATGTTCTGTAAAAAATCCACGCCTGTCCTTTGTCCTTTTCAAAAATCCACGCCTGTATTGGTTCTGTATTTTTTTAATTTATGATTTATTTTTTATTTTTAATATATCAGAAACCCATGAAAGCCACCAAGAAACCATTAACCACCACAACTGGAGCTCCCGTCCCATGGAAACCTGATCCAATGGAACCAGAAATAACCGTTCAGGGAAATACAAATACGGATTTGAGTCATATCGATTGTAGTCACAAAGATTTTGTACCACATGAAGACTGCAGAAAGGTAAGACACAATTTTTTAATTTAAAATCGAATTTATTTCGAATATCAAATGTCTTATTTCAGTATTATCGTTGCGTGCACGGTATGCCTGTTGAATTCGAATGCAAAGAAGGCACCGCCTTCCATACCATCTCAAATGTTTGCGATTGGATTGAGAACAGTGATCGGTACTATTGTACCCAAATGAAGGGCAAAAAATCTGTCAATGATGCCTAAGGCCTGACATCGAAGCAGTGTTGATGGTGTAAATTGTCACAGATTTTTTATAGACACATTTCTCATGTGTGTGTACACACACACACTCACACCATTCGTCTTTGTATTGCATTTGTGTACTGGTATTCATTAGGTTTAATTAAAAACGAAAAACTATTAATTTAAAATAAATTACATTTTAAGATACGTACATATATATTTTTTAATATAGCATTTCGAAATTTAAGAAAATAAATCAAATCTCTATAAGATAAAAACAAATTGTATTTTTTTGTTTTTTTTCTCGTTTGTGCGTATTGTTTATGATATGCAAAATAAGTATACGCCATTATGAAGGGGTGTCTTGGTATTCAAAATTGTTTGTGAAAATAAAATTTGAAAAATAATAAAAAATTCTAATATAATACTATATATATATATATATATATATTAAAATTTTCCTTAAAATACAAATTTCACCACAATAAAAATTGTATTTGATTTTTCTTTTTGAAATTTTTAGTATCCAAATAACCTTAAAATTTGGTTAATATTTTTATATGGATTCTCATCTCTTTGTTGTTTAGTTTTTTTCTATTAAAAACTATTAAGGTATTGATATAGAAATTCATAACATTCTTTTGTTTAATCCCTTTTCAAGAAATAGGAATTTATGTATATATTTGCCATATCAAAAATGAAAATTTCACGATAAACATTTTTAAAATTCAACGAAGCATTGAGAAAATGTCAGACAATCAGAAAAAAATCAAGGCTGTTTTCTGATCTATCTATATACAAAAAAGAACATCATATTTATAGAAGACATTTTTCAATGTTAACTAATGTATAGGGATTTTTAGTTGAAGAACTAAGGTAAAGAACTAGGGCGGGCGGTATGATAATGAATAGAAAACTGTATGGAATGCAATAAGAAACAAAATAATGAAATCATTTATATCTATGATGATGGTGCCAGTGTCAGAGCTATCAATCGCAACGAAATTTTGCAAGTAGGATGAATTCTGGCAAAAGAAGGCCCCTATTGGATATGATCGGTTCATATGAACCAAAAACGTAATTTTTGTCTGTTTCTATGGTCCCTCTAGAGGCTACAATTATGACCTGAACATCACGGAATTTTACACAGAGAAAGGAGTCTGACCATGGAATAAGCATACTTGTTTTGATAAATATCGGTTGATATTCGACCCAGACTTTTGTGTTAACTATTATATAACCTGTATTATACGGCGTATATGTTTACCCCTGAAGAACATAGATCTGAGAAGTTGCTAGCATATCAAAGAGGAGTGGGTTATTATACCCCACACAACTATGTTGTCAGGGTATTATAGCTTTGTGTAGCACCAAAAGTTTGTAACGCCGCGAAATATTGGTCCTAGACACACCTTTAAGTATACCGATCGTCATACTCGTGACGATCGTGTGTCCGTCCGTCTGTCCATTACAATTTGTAAACACGATACAGGCCACAGTTATGGACCAATCTTCACGAAATTCTGCATGTAGGATGGGTTCTGGCCAATGAAGACCCCTATTGTTTTTGGAAAAGATCGGTTAATATTTAGGGGATGAAATGGACCAAAAACGTTATTTTTGTCGGTTTTCCTGGTCGCCCCACAAGCCGCAATTATGGCCCAAACACCGCGAATTTTTGAATGAAGATGGGGATCGGGCCAGAGAATAAGCATGCTTGTTTTGATAAAGATCGGTCAATATTTAGCGGATCAAATGGACCCTGACTTTTGTGTGAAAAATGACAAAATTTGTATTCTATAGCGTATATATTTACCTTTTGAGTAACAAAGACCCGATAGCAAGTCCAAGAGAAGTGGTTGACCTTTAAATTGATACTAATTATATGGTCGTATGTACTCAGATGTGGGAGTTACCCTTAAATATTTACAGGTGCTTACGTACTGAGATATTATTTAGTAACCCATTACCACACTAGAGGGCGGAAATATTGCGCTGATCGCTTTGAAATGTCCAATGAAGATCCAGGTATGGTCAGGGATATCGGCTATAATTTTTGGTGATGATCAGATACAAATTTTGGGATGAAGTGGACCGAAAACTTAATGTTTTATGATTTTCGAGACGATCTATAGGCCACAATTATAATCCGAACATCACAACACAATCCACGGTGAAGGGAATCTGGACAAGTAATTAGAAGGGCTGTACTCAATATTGGGAATATTCGGAAAATATGTCAGGAAGAGGTGCTGTTGATCTTTAATCGGGCAAGAGGGTGCAACTATGACGAAATATTGCCCACGCTCAGAATAAACGTCGGCAGAAAGTTCGAGTTCCGTGGTAGTTGTGTAGGGTATCGTATGATCGGCCCCGTCCGATTATACTGCTCCGCTCACTGGTCTTTAAATTATATAGTTGTATGTACTCAGATGTGGCAGATTTACTTAATATAGTCTACATATTGACATATTGACAATGACGGGTCAAATGAACAAAACATCTTTGTGCAAAAAAAAAAAAAAGAATTTCCGTAAAAATATGAATCGGAAAATATGGGAACTGTTGTCTTCTAAACAGTCAAGAGTGTTCAAATATCACGAAATATTACCCAGGCTCGCAGTATACACATTCTTTTTACACTCTCAATAATAAGGCTATATATAGCCGTCCGCCTGTCTGGATGGAGTGCACGATACATTGCGTCCAAACTTTCCACATCATAATATTTCTTCCAGTCCTTCCCGATTCGATTTTTTAGAACTTCGAAAAAAAAACAAATTGTTAGCTAGGAAGTCACATTACCAATTAGGTGGCAATGCCCTATCTTGTAATAATTACACCATGGCTCGATCCATATTTAGGTCGGGTATATACATTTTACAACGGTAAAAATGTTTCTCATCGAACTATTGGTTTTAGACCCCATGGCCAAATCCGTCTTAGACAATTTGGAATTAATTTACAAATGTCCGTACGTCTGCCTGTAAGGCTGGTGCGCACTATACCTTTGCGAAGGAAGTAATCGATTTTATTAAAATTTTGCAATATCCTAATATTTATTCCACACTTAAATAAAATTCGAAAATGGGACTTCTCCTCCTTCGGGTACCTCCTCCACAAAATATTGCCAAATGTTGCTGAAAATAAATTTTTAATAACACGCGAACAACAACATCATATATTCAGGAATATAATGTTGAAAGATGGGTCATATCGGTCCACTCATTCTAGTACGTCCTCCACAAAGGGTCAAAAATTTGAAAATTTATATATCTCATACGAAGCGAACGGAATATTAAACTTTGCATTGTGTACAAAAATGGGACACGTCCCATTGTCAATACGATTTCCTACGAATTCATAACACACTTTTACCAAACCTAGATCAAAACCGAATATGAGGTACATCGGTTCACTTTTTTTGGTACTTTCCCCACAAAGGGTCAAAATGTTAAAAACTGTAAATTTAATTTGAAGCTAGTGGAGTAACAGATTTGATCCATTGGTTGCACATTGTCATATTTTACCAAACCTACGGCGATGTGGTCAATGGGGGCAACATCTACTGGTACCTCCACACTGATGGTCAAGTCTTTGATAAAAACATATTTAATAAAAACATACATATGAAGCGAATTGTGTGTATTTTCGTAGACAGCCGTAAACCCTAGGCTGATGGTATATGTCTATCGGCAACACCAACTGACACTTTTTTAAGGTCTGCCATCCAATGAGAACTCAAAATAACAAAGTAAAACCAGTAAGGAAAGTAGTAAAGTCGGACGGGCCGACTATATGATACCCTTCACCACTATGGGTATATTAAACAGATGCATCCTCACAGACCTCGGACCATTATTATGACATTGGATGAACTAAAATATGTGACGACTTAGATCAATCCATATACATGTAATTCGTTTGTTACAATGGGAGAAAAGTAGTAAATCGATTTCAAAACGAGAATATGTATGTGAGCTATATAAAATCTGAACCGATTTCCACGAAACTTGGCAGACATGACTCCAGACCCAATTCAGAACGATGTGATAAATTTCGTGCAAATCGAAAGATATATAGGGTCATGGATGCAACATTTAGATTAAATCGGACGAAAATATATATGGGAGCTATACCTAAATCTGAACTGATTTTCACGAAACTAAGCAGACATTATTCTACACTCAATTCAGTACGATATGCCAAATTTCGTGCAAATCGAAATATATATAAGGACTTTAGTTCACCATTTACCTTTAAATCGGACGAAAATATATATGAGAGCTATATCTAAATCTGAACCGATTTTCAGGAAACTTAGCATACATTATTCTTGGCTTATTTCAGTAAGCTATACCAAATTACGTGCAAATCGAAAGATATTTAGGGACTTTGTTGCACCATTTACCTTACATCGGACGAAAATATATATGGGAGCTATATCTAAATCTGAACCGATTTTCACGAAACTCAGCACACATCATTCTAGGCTTAATTTAGTACGCTGTACCAAATTTCGTGCAAATCGAAAGATATTTAGGGACTTTGGTACACCATTTATCTTAAATCGGACGAAAATATATATGGGAGCTATACCTAAATCTGAACTGATTTTCACGAAATTTAGCACACATCATTCTAGGCTCAATTCAGTACGCCGTGCCAAATTTAGTGTAAATCTAGAGATATTTGGGGACTTTGGTACACCATTTACCTTAAATCGGACGAAAATATATATGGGAGCTATATCTAAATCTGAACCGATTTTCGCGAAACTTAGCACACATCATTCTAGACCTAATTCATTAAGCTGTGCCAAATTTCGTGCAAATCGAGAGATATATAGGGACTTCGGGGGACCATTTACATTAAATCGGACGAAAATATATATGGGAGCTATATCTAAATCTGAACCGATTTTTCCCAATTTCAATAGGGTTCGTCATTGGGCCAAATAAGTGACCTATGCTAAATTTCATCCAAATCGGATCATAAATGCGACCTGTACTTTGTTCACAAAAATACATGGACGGACAGACGA